TTTTTCATTGTTTTATTATTTCACAAGCGAACGGCTTGATTTTTTTTTATGGCTACCACAATGTATTCGAATGAACTTCAATGTATGTCATAATTAAATATGTGCTAGTTAAAATATAGAAATTTAATTAGTGAAATATGTATCAATTTATGTTATTATTTATTTATGTCAACTTATGTATATATATGTCAAATTATGTTTATATTTATATATATCAACTTAGATTCGATGAATCAGATATTCAAATGTTATATTTACTCAAGCAAAGTGCTTGTTTTTCTATTAGCTACCACATCGACTGCTAAATTCAAAATGTTATTACTATAAATTTTCTGTAAATTTCTAGATGTATGGGATAGGGGCCGCTAAGTGGCCCAGGTGCCCAATTTTTGTAAATAAAGTAAGTAAGTATTATAAGTTTTTTTGGAAAACGGCAGACTAACGGCCTTAGGTGCCCAGATAAATTTTGATGATGATGTATTATAAGTCGTAAAAGTTATGATTAGTTTGCTTCTTCTAAATATAAGTTAGAAATGAAATGTTTTTGATCATTGCTTTTCTTATTTCTAGATTCCTATTTCATAGCTACAGTTTTTTTTTTACACTTTTTAATTAAGATCTTTTGTAGCGAAACAAAAATTGAATTTACAATTGTTAAAAGAAATAATTTTAGCTTCGCGAACACTCAATGTTTTTGAAGTTAATTGCCAGGACTATGTTTAAATTAGATACGAAAATTTCCAGACAAAATCGGGTTATGATTCTGTAAAATATTTTTAAAAGATATTTGAATGGAGTGTGTGTTACATAATTTAGGAAAGTTTTAGGTTATATTGTTAACAAGTAAAATGTACGAAAATATAGAATAATTGATCTTTAAAATAAAATTAAAAAAATTTGCTTAAAAATTTCATTTCATGCATGAAGAGGCAAGAAAAATAGTTTCCTCATTTCAATAGATAGCTTTGAAAAATGCTAGATAGCACTGGGCAAGTTAAATCACTTCAACAGAAAAAATATTAGTCATATTATACGAAGCGATTTTTTTCCCTGCAGTCAAAAGTAATTTGTCATGTTTTATAATTCTTGGATTGCGCTTAAGTTCTTGAAATAACTGTAAGCACATTTTGAAATTAATTTTACACTCATGTGACGACCAAAAAGATAAAATATTATGATGTTAACAAAAGGAGATATTTTTAGATTTATAGTGGTTTTAAAAAAAGGAACTGACATCAAAAGCTGTTAAAATGTGCTAACATTTTCTGGATGTAAAATTTTTCAAAACATTTGCAACTAAAAGTAACGCTGCTCACCTTGAGATAGTATAGTATTGTTCACATTATTCTGCCTAAACTTAGTATTTCAAAAGTTGCAACCATAATTTCTTTCGAATACATTTCAAAAATATATGATAATATCATAGCGGCTCCCAATTTTTCCGGGAGATTTTTACTTAAAATTTAAAGTGGTAACAAAAAAGTATGCTTCAATAAGTTTTTTCTTAGTTAAACAAAGTTGGGTTATAAAATTAACATAATACCACTACACATAAATAATTTAAATAAATATATGAAAACTCTTGACTTTATACTTGAAAATATAAAGTGTTTAGTAAGTTGAAATAATTTCTGCTTTCAGTTGTAAATTCAATTATTGTTTCGCTACCACTATGAAAAATCGAAAAGTGCAAAAAACGGCAGTATGGATCAGATACGTAACGTTTCCGGAAATGATTAGGAAAAGAAGTAATAAAAACATTTAATTTATAATTTTTATTTTGAACAACTTCCGCGTCCTATTGAAACATTTTTATTTCAGTGTTGATACGTGCACTTAAAAACCAAACTAAAAATACTAATAACTTCATTTTGTAATTTCTCAATTTAAGTATTCACTCGTAGCTACCATTAATTAATCTGAAAATCTGCATTCACTTTTAATATATATATNATAAGCTGAAGGAAATAAGTAAAAAGAATGTATATAAATAGTCATCTTCCTTCTTTGCTCATTTCTGATACAAGCAATGGCTTTAAAAGATTAGCGAAAATCACTTTGCTAAGACTTTACTAGATTAAATAATCCAATATTTTAATACTGTACAAAATTGTTTAGATTTTTACAAAATTAAGAAAATTTTAATATTTGAATGGTTTTAAATGCATCTTTGAATTCTACAATTTAATTCAGAAATATCTAAAGTTATTTTGTAACAGTCATGCATAGTAACTTTCTTATTGATTTATCGATAGTGAAGTATATAAAAAACGAAGTATATGAAATTTCAATCTGTCATAGAATTTACAATATTACTACATCTTGTAATATCATAGATATACTTTCAGGTATTTGGAAGTTTTGACATGTAATGGAGTTGAGAAATAAAATGAAAATTCGAAATAAACATAAGTTGTATAAGAAAATTGAACTTTTTACCTGCGTTGATAAGATTAATCAGCTTTAATACCACTGTATTCTCTACTTTTTTCATGTATTGCTATTTAAAAAGAGATTTTAGCAGACGATTTCAGTTTAAAAATATTTCAATGAACTATAATCTTCTATATTTCGAAGAACTTCATCAAGGAACTATAATTCAATGTTAAAGAATTTCGCTCTATTTATCGAATAGTTCTGCAATAATCTTCTCTCTGAGAGAATGTACTTTATGAGCTAAATAAATTCAATTCAAGTTGCTGAAATTAAAGAAAAATATTGAAGAATTTATTCTTTCAAAATCATTCTAGAGAGTAAACATATGCAACGTAAACAAATAAAGGAGAGAAACGAAGATGTATCCAAAATTTCGCCTACCACATTTTAGCGTTAAAAATTAGAAAAAAAAAAAACAACAACAAAAAAACGATGTATTAATAATGAATAATTCTATATACTAATTATTTTACGGTTGTGTTTTTATTCCTTTATATTTACTTGTAAGCTCATTTTCAAAGTATAAATTTGGATTTTAGAATGAATTAATTTTTTTGCTTTAAGTCAGATAGGTAACTAATAGAAGATCAGTACAACAAGCTTTCACTTTAAAAATTTAAAACTATGGATTTCATAACTAGATATACTTATTTTGAAGGATTTAGCGTGAACTTATTGAAATGCACTACTGCTTTTTAAAATTAAATAAAAAACTGTAAGAATCAATCTGAAAAGGACATTACAAGTATATATCTGAATAACAGGGTTCCCGCGGGCCTTGAAAAATTTAAAAAGTGGTAGCGAAAATAAAATAAATGTGGATGAATTTCTGCGTAACCACCGCAAAACATTGTTTTCTGAAGAAAGTAGATATGCATTAAAATTTCATCTTGCTTATTCATTTAACGATTAAGTGGTATATTAAGATGAGAAATATATTCTAGCATTAACCTAAATTTACTACCACAGCTAAAATTTTTCAAGATTCTGCGGGAACCCTGAATAAAATGAGACAGTACAAAAATTGCGATTTCTATAGGAAATATTTGTTAAACTAATGATAAACGCTTTTGCAACATTTGTTAGACTTTTGAATAAAAGTCAAACACGTAAAAAGTAATAAATTCAAAAATTTATTATTAACAAGTTTTCTAGCATATTTTTTTCACTTGAAGAATGCATTCGTTTTTTATATGAATAATTTTTCAAGTTATAATGTTGAATAATCAAATATATAAATCTTCCACTTCTTACAGTCGCATCCCAGCATATTTTGTCGGAGCTCATCATCATGTGTTTATTATGCATTTATCTTCACGTAGTGACAGTCAAAATCATTTTAAATTAAATTTACTATACCAAGAATTAAATAGAAAAGCAAATGTTATGCTACAAATATTTATATAAAATACAAAATCATACAAAAATCTTTAAAGATTGCCAACTATAAAATATATTTTTGTAGATCTTACGTTTGAGAAATATTTTTCTTATTAGTAATAAAATTTTGGTTCTTGA